TCAGTTTTTTTAAATTGCGGTATTATGATTTATGCGGAGTTATCAGCATTCAAAATCAGAATGTTCTTTTATTTAATTCGCGAATAACTCAGGAATAAAAAAAATTATAGGAACATTTTCAAAAAACGATTTTATAAGGAAAGCTTCAAGCTTTTACGATAGGTAATCAAAAATTTTTTGGGTATGTGAAAGACCCACAAGGTAAAAAGACAATTTTTCATCTTTTTCAGCTCGTAGTTTTTTATATGTAAAAATTACCAAACTCACCGAAATTAAAAAAATATAGTATCCTAAAAAATATAAAACCTTTTAAAAATAGAAATTCCGTGCTTTAAAATCCTTTTTTTAAATTTAAATTTTATTTATTTTTAACGAAGACATTAAAATAAAGATTCTTTTACATATATGTAAAGAGACTTTCTAACCGAATATATCTTATCTAAATATAAGTCATATACCTTATCTAAATTGTAAAAGTCTGTCTTCCCCGCGTAATGAAATAAAAAAATATATCTTATCTAAATTATATACCTTATCTAAATTGTTGTAAAAATCTGTCTTCCCTGCGCAAAGATATCTACCCAGAAGTGTAGCATGAGTAGTAAATACTGTGGCCACATCCACATGTCTTGTTCTCAAAGCGATTAAACCAACACCTGCTTGCCATTCATGACAATGTACGACTACTCTCGGCGGAACGCTTGAATATCCTTCGGCTGCTTTTCTATTATTTCATTATTGTAGTAAAATTGACAATTAAATATATATAATTATATAAAATAATTTTAAAATAATAGTATATTAATTTAGTTAAATTCTGCAATAAATTGACAGACTAAATATCCAAGTATTACAGCATCATTAGCTTCAATATCGAGATGGGGTATTCCAAGATTGCAAGTAGTCCATAATTCCTGTTTATACTCGTCTAGCTTCCAAGCAGCACTTCCAATATCGAGTAGAATTATTTGAGGATTTCCATCCACCAACCATGTCCCTGTTATTACCTCAATGAAAATATTTTATAATATAATAAAAACAAAATATACCTTAATTTAATAATAAAACTATTATTATTATATATATTATATACAGAGTGTATAGAAAATCCCGGTCTTAAAATCCCTCAAGTTCTTGAAAAATAAGCATTTCTGAGAAAAATATTTCATACAAAAATTGGAAAGTTTAAAATGATTTAGTTACTCATACTACCAGTTTGATTTTTAGTGGGCCTCCTAGGTTAAGTAAAGGTCAAATCGATTTTTTTTAATGGCACCTCATTTTTTATTTCAAAAGCTGATATCAAAAGCTTTTCAGAAGACTATAATAAAACCTATATTATAATAAATGATAACTGAACAGGAGCGTATATACGTACTTCTTTTAAGATGCAAGAATGGGGTTCAAGTCTCATAATTCGAAAAATACTGATTAAAAAGACTTTATTATAGCGTTTTGAAAAACTCTTTATATTCCAGTTATTAGATTCTGAAATAAAAAAATGTTTCATAAAAAGAAGATTGATTTGACTCGACCTTGGTGGTGCCACTCAAGATCAAACTGATAAGATCTGTAAATAGATCATTTCATACTCTACAACTTTTGTATGAAACATTTTTCTCAGAAGTGTTTACTTTTCAAGATATTCAAGGAATCTAGGACTTTTTGTATATCCTCTGTGCGTGCATGCGTGCGTACGTGCATGCGTGTGTGTAAATGCGTATATACTAATATAATGATAAAATATACTTTATATTTAATTATTGTGTAAAAAAATAACTAAATATTTTAAGAATAAAATGTTTATAAGTGCAATATTTCTTAAAAATATAATTTTTCTTGGTAGTAATATTATATACATAATATTATTCCATATAATATTATTCAAACATATAATTCGAAAAATTATTACATATATATATATATATATACACATACAAGTGTGTATGTGCGAGTGTGCATGCACTTGCATGAAAATTATATGGCAATTTCCTAAAATTATATCAACATTATTCTATATTTGTTTATTACTCATAGATGAAAACATTTAACATTCTGGATTATAATACATGCGTGCGTGCATACACATAAAGAATAAATTATTAATCTAAGTAGTGATTAAAAAAAGAATTTGTTTTAAAAGTATTTTTAGTATTGTATATTTTGTAGTTGTCAAGCAGATATAATAATATGATCTTAATTTATAATACTTTTGGTTAAAGTCAATTAGGTTTTTTAAATAAAAATCTTTAATTCTTATTGGATTCTCTCTTGTAACTTACATCAAAATGTTTTACAAAACATCTTGAACATATCTCGTAATTAGAGCATTTAAAAATTTCATTAGCAAGAAACAAGTTGCTTAATAAGTCCTTTTGTCTTTTGTTTAATCTTTTTCTTTATTTAAATAATCTTATATTCTCTTTCCTGGAATATACTCCGTTAACATAAATATTTGCAATGTGCGTCTAAATGTAAAATTATTATTTCTAATATATAACTTTCAGTTGAAATATTTGACAAACCTTAGTAATATGTTTCTTTATATCTGCTGCACACACACGCACATACGCGTTTGCGCGAACGCGTGTGAATGTATGATTTAACAAACTGACTGATTTAAGATTAATTTTGAGACTAAATGTCAAGTCCACAATTTTTTAAAAAATTTACTTTATATCCTTGATCACGCAAAACTTGTACTGCTTGATGCAACGGACTATGAGAAGGAAAGTCTGCCTCCTCAACTTCAGTACGTGCTGAATGTTCTTTATATGGACCAATAAGGCAATATTGATCACCCATTTCTTCAGTTGAAACATAAGCTTTAGATCTTATTACAGTATAAATGCCGCCAACTGAAAAACAGTTATGTGAATTATATGTGATAGTAGGGAAAAATATAATTATCAAGATTACATCAGAAAAATCTAGAACTACATATAAATATAATGTTGTACCTTTATTGGCAGCTTCCCAAGCAACTTCAAAGTTCCATCGATTTTCATGTTGGGCTGAGTAGCCACGGTCCATAAATCCAAACAAATCATTAGTGCTGTCTATGCGATAAAATCTCCTAGAAGCACGCTCTCTTGACATTTTGTAAATTGTTCTGCAATCCCCCTATATTTATTTGATTTTTTAGCAGGTTTAATAAAGTTAACACCTATTAAATTTATCTCTGTCAAACAGCACCAAATAAGCAGAATCAAAGAAGATATATTGAATTATTCAGTGTTCATTTTATGTTAATTTCTGTTACAAAATACTATTTTATACTATATGCTGTTTAGAAGATAATTCGTGACGCTGTTAGCTAGCAATCTATTAATATTAAACTAGCAGGTTCACAAGAAAAAAAAGTAAAAATAGAAAACAAAAGTAGAATTACAAAAAATTGAATTTGTGCTAATTTGTACCATAAAAATAATAAAGTTAATATATTGATTCATTTCTCAAGAAACCTTCAACTGAACACAACTATTGGGTTCAAGAGTAAAGTATTCTACACCATGAGCAAAATCAATTGTTACTCTCATAATCGAATGCTATAATTTGAGTTGCGAAAATATAAATGTTTAAATTTTGTATGCCCGCCGTTCCTTTGGAAACTACACCCAACCACCAACGAGATACTCTTTCTCTCTCTCTCTCTCTCTCTATTAAAGATACTCGGTTTTTATAGAAGTTCGCGTTAAAATTTAAGTGATTAAGAATAATAAACTGATAATATATTATAATAAATAATAATAGGCTCTGTAAGAATAAAATAAATTAGAACAATTGAAGGGCTAAGAGCCAGTTACATATAGATTACTAATAGTTTTACCATTATAATATATTTACTGTAACATTGAGAATGACCCGATCGATGTCGAAACGTTTGTTATTATTTTTATTATGTTTTTAAATTAAACGTTCTTTATTATATAACTGGCTTTTAGCCCTTCAATTGTTCTAATTTGATAATATATTATTAATTTCATAATTTATTAGTTTTGTAGTGTATATGTTTAAAATTTAATAATACTCGATTTTTATAAAAAACTGATTTTAACGTTATCATCCGAATTAGAAACAATGGCTGCGTCTAGCGGACTCAACAGTTGAGTGAGTACTCGTTGTTACTGATGTATTCTTCTAGATCTAAAATTCTGATTGGATGATCTACAAGAATACACCAGTAATAGCGAGTGCTCACTCAACTGTTGAGTCCGCTCAATACGCCTAATAACTATAGCAAAAAAAATTATAATTTTCCGGCAATATATAAGATATAATAGCATTAAAAATATGCGTATTTATTTATACAATATTTATATAATAGAAAATCACTTATTTGATAATATATAGTCGAAATATTTATATTAATAATCGCAAATTTTTATTAATTGTCCATAATATCATCGTTTTTCAATTATCCCCGGGCCTCTGAGACCCCATTGATAGTCGCGAAAATTTATCCAGTGCCGAGGGTCTTCATTAGCATCTCGTCGGTGACTCGACCTAGATTCAAGGGTAAACCATCCTTCGTCACTAGCTGATTCGTTATTCTTACAATCGAGGCGCTATAAATTGTACCGCTAAAATGTGAATTTCAAATTTTGTATTTTAATCTTGTAAAAGGATTTTTGATTCTCTCTGTTCAGTCAATTCGGAGATTTTTATAAAAAATATAATATTTCGATAATTTGATCACTCCTCCAACACCCCTTTAATTATTTTATATTTTGATTTAATTAAAACACGCGTACTGTTTGAGAATCATGACTGTGTGTATACAAGCAAAATCCTTAATCAGGTTTAATAACATCTGTAATTATGAAACTGACCAATCGTAGATATTCTTCTGAAAAATAGAATGACTGTGATTGGTCAATTGCTAATTACGAATGTTATTAAACTCAATTAAGGGTATCTGCAGTTATTGTATAATCAGTTTTATTTTTTAATTAATATCGTATAACTTTTAAAAATGATATTAAAAATATCAATTTAATAGATTTTTTAAACATTCTTTAAAATGATTTAATTTCTAATAAATGTTATATAAATATAAATATTGTATAAATATATCATAGAAATATTACATAATATTTCAGCGCTATTTCTACTAGATTTCATTGTAATATTGCAATTAAGAAATGATGTTGCTGTGACATTACCGTAATATTACGTGCTATATGAAATTTCTTAAATTCCGATTTCAAATGTTTTAATTTAATAAAAAAAAAAAAAACAATGGAAATTTTCAATTTTCTTAAGAGATTGAGTTTCATCATTATTAAAAATGTTGAACCATATGTTTATTTTTCTTCATCTTATGGGCCAATAACATTTTCTGTTATGTGAGATATCGTTATCTATATGTTTTCCTACAAATTCATGTATTCGTCCGAAAACATGAATCGCAAAAGATAGTCAATCGAATACGTAGTAATTAATCGTTCATTATATATCGAATCGAACAGTACATATAGCGTGCACGTGTATATAATATTGCGTGCATTTTTCTCTGTAAAAACTTGATAAATTCCAGTTTTCACTTTCCACTCATTCACTTTCGTTTATTTCCTGAATCCAATTGCAATTACATGACATAGACCACGATTATTGTGAAATTGCAAATATAATGCCGATTCTAAGATGAATCGATAGTTCTAATTTATCGGGAAATCGGTGAAGTTGGCCAATAACTAACCTGTATATACAACTACTACTAATTTTCTCAAAACTGGACAAATTCGACTTTACTCCTCATTATAAATCAAGCTAAATGACTCCCTGTACAATTAATAACTTGTACATGTGAAAAATTATAATCACCTATTTAGGTTAAGACCGGTTAAGACCAGTTAAGACTTATATGAGGATTTACGAGTCTGTAGTCGATAATCAGAAGTCTTAACCAGTCTTAAACTTAGATTTAATATTTATTAAATTTTTACAATTTTTATTTATTAAATATTTAATATTTTTAATATTACCTTAACTTTAGTCGTACAAGTTGGCTCAATAGCGGCTAACTTCACCGATTAAATTTAAGATTGCTTAGGATTTTCGATTACCGACTTATTATAGAACCCCGGTTAGATATATCAACTCATTACAGAATCAGCTTTATGTTACTTTACACTCGAAGATTATTGACGAGCATCCACAACGTGGATTGCTTTGGATTGTTCGTCATTATCGTGTGATATCGAATGTCGCGATATAATCGAATTAAAGGGACTCATACATAAAAGCAACGTACCGTTTTCACTTACCTCCTGCTTTACGACTTCTCACGTTATTACAGTCAAGAACAGTCAAGAACGGCACTCTCGGACTAACTGAGATTAACCTTGATTAACTTTGGCCGACCTGCTGGTCAGTGCGATACTATATAACTATACTACACAACCACAGTTTCAAACGATAGGCTGTGTTTAGCAAAGAAAATAGCTTTACAACTGTTGTAAGATTCTTTCATATCATTGGTTTATTCATTTACATCTGTAAGGAATCAAAAGAAGAACCAATCGTATTGAAGAACTTTACAACAGTTGTAAAACCACTTTCTCTGCCGAACGCGACCAATGTCACCACGGTCACCACTAATCACCATGATAGAATTAGACAAGTGACTGAGCTACTGAAGTGACCCATCCCATCCCATTCCGGCGGTTGCGGATACGTCGTATCGAATTGAAAGTATAGCGGATCTGTTATAAGGCCATCGCACATAGAAAAACTTAAGACCGGTTTCATCCACATCAGTTACTTGATCAGCCGATTCAATTGTTATCAGAATTGTCAATACTTTAAAATCTGTCTCAATTTTTAATTTATTCATGATATGAAAAAAATGTAGATAATAAATTAGATGAATTTAAAATATAAATATATTTTGATGGTGAACATATGGTACTGAATAATTTTGTATCAGGATTTCTTTCACCGACTTGTGATTAAATTGATCGACGATTAATTCGTAGAAGTGCCAACAGCACTTTAATATATCAGTCTCTCTCTTCCTTTTTCGAGATAAATTGTGTTTAGTTCTCACGTTGGCAATCGTGATCTAAATCGAAGTTGGTGAAAGAGGCCATCAGCGTGCAAGCTGTCGAATTTGTTAGGTGCAGTCCCAGCCCCAGCAGTTCGGTGCCAGTGCACACCGCCTATGCTTATTAATAGTAAAAGGTATTTTTAGGTTCATTTAGATTAAATTGTATAAAAGTGTTGCGGACACGACACACATAAAATGTGATTGGATAATTTTCTTGATGCATATGTTAATGCAGTTAATCAAGTTTGTGTGGAGATACCTCACAAGAATATAGCTATTCAAATATAGGCGGGAATTATTAAAACATGTCGGACCAATCAAAATGCTGCTTTCTCATGTCGCAACTCTTAAGGAGCCTACAGACCAGAGCGGTGAAACGGCGAGCGATAGCCAATGAGGACCATGCTTTTGCGCAAAAGCATGGTCCTCATTGGCTATCGCTCGCCGCTTCACCGCTGCGCCGCTCTGGTCTGTAGGCTCCTTCAGGGTTGATTTATAACTGGCCGTAATCTGTTAACTTATGCCGTAATCTGTAAAAATTGATATACTGAAAAAACTCAGATATAAGTATGGATCACATGGAAGCACTACAAACCCGATTTATGAGCAAAAAACCGAACACGGAGGGAAAAACTATTTTTAGTCATAACTTTTGGTGTTATGAATGAACGGCTGAAATCTTTGCGGCACAATGTAGCACAAATCGAGCACAACTCAGCACAATGTTTATTTTGCCGATTAAACAAAATGGCGGTGCTAGCGAAAAAAAACGTTTTTTTCAATTTAACGCTTTGTTTTTTGAGTTATGTCATTAATTCTTGCGGCACAATGTAGCACAAATCTAGCACAATTCAGCACAAATTTTATTTTTCTTTTTTAACAAAATGGCGGTGCTAACTTCATGCACATCCGCCGCTTATATACGTTCTCAACTATAATTGGTCAATTCGCTTACTGATTACGTTTACGGCCTTACGTTTTTCCATGTGTCATGGGCTTAACAGTTTTACAACTGTTTTATGATTCTTTGCTGAGATAGGACTATTCCTTTAGATCTAAAATTATAATCCAATCAGCGAGACGAATCATAAAACGGTTGCAAAACTGTTGAGGCTGCTGAACGCAGCCATTCTTAGGTCGGAATCAGACTACGCATTGAACATTGAGATTAAAGATTGAAAGATTGAAATTTGGCCAATCAAAATAATAGGAGCAAAAATTCTTTTATTCTCATTGGTCAAATTTCAATTTTTAATCTTCAAACTCAATTTTCAATGCGTAGTCTGATTCCAGCCTTAGCTGAATTAGTGATTATTGAATTCTGGTCTCACTGTTCGGTTTCGTTGTAATTTTCGTTTGGTTTTCTGTTAACCAAAGTTTTAATAACCTACGGTTTAAACCAAAGTTGGTAGAAACGGGCATTAGTGATTATTGAATTCTGGTCTCACTGTTCGGTTTCGTTGTAATTTTCGTCCATGAGACGCCACCCTCACACTACAGTGCCAGTATCGCCAACGGTAGCAAGAATAATCTAGTTAGCATTCAGCAGAAAAATAAGCATCGTGTGCTACTGATTTTTTTAATATTCTGATATTCGCATTGTTTAAAATCTCCAAAAATTTTTGAACTTAATATATTTGAGTAATGAAAAAAGAGAAACCGAATAAAGTGCAAACAATGCAAACAAACTATAACCAATTTCTCAATTTTTTAATAAGAACTAGAGATTTTTAATTTTTCTAGTGAATGTTTCTGATGAGAATTTCTAGAGATTAAAAATTTTTATTTAGAAATTTATGCTGTCGGCGTGTTGGCGACACTTATCTGAAGATCTCAATGATCGATTTATAGAAATTGCAGTTTGTCATCTTTCTCGGTTGATCTTTAATTAGATTACAGCGTATTAATAAAGGAGTAAAATAATAAGTAAGTGAACTAAAAAATATGCCAATAAAAACATTTTAATTATGTCGGAATATAAAAAATGTTTTAAAATTGTAATATTATTATACTGTTTATGTTTATGTTTATGCTTATGGTATGTCTAGTAAATATATTGAACAAAAATATTTTTTTTAGAACAATACAAATTTTGATACTTTTGCATTATTATTTAGAAACTTGTTTTGTTTTAACATTTTTTCATAAACATTTTATTGTAATATAATTTATATATGAATACGTATATTTTCTTTTTTCAAACTCAACCTATTATTCTGTAATACTCTATTATTTAGGTCTATTTTTTATTCCTGTACTAGATTGTACTAGAACTTTAGATTTATAAACTACATTAAAACTTTTTCTCACTTTTTCATCGGACTTTAAATATATATCTAGGCATATTTATCACTGCATTGAATTGCACTAAAACTTTTTAGATAGTAATCATAGTCCATTGTTATTTTAAGATTATCTTAAGTAATGTCGTAAGATGCTAATATATAGTCCTCTGATGGATTTGTAGCACCTTAAGATTGTATTTGAGATGATCTCAGGTATGAGACCAGATTATGAATACTAGTCGTATCTTCCGGTTTTAAATTTTAAATATATATATTTTATTTTATGTATGAATTTAAATACATTTATATTTTATTTCATGTATCTATGAATGTGTGTTACTAACATACGTATTATTAGTATTAGAACAATTGTTGATTTTACTCTTAACTGTTAAATATGTTGTACCTGCTAGAACTCTTTGAACTGTTTTTTAATAAAATAATTTATTTTTCAATATTAATCTTTTTATTCCATAAAACAAAACTTTCTATGGTTCAATCAAAATTAAGACCTATAATGGTCAAAAGTAGATCTTTAATGCTTAAATAAATAATTTCATGTGCATTTGTATATATTATATATGTACACACATATATATATATATATATATATATATATATATATACTATATTTGTAGTCATTTAAACTATGCTGAATTAATTTTTTTTGGATTTAGAAACACAGTTGATAAATATAGAAAATATTTCACAATTTTAATAAAAACATTCATATTTTAGTTTTATTTTGTTGTAATGCACATACTTACATATGTATACACATATTTTCAATTAATTCCAAGATATATATTAATATGATAGCAATGTATAACAAGGATTGCTTGTATTATGCATACATTTTAAAGATTTGTTTAATATCTGCAAATCTAAAACAAGTTGTGCAAAACTAGGTCTACCTTGCGGAATCGTATTCCAACAAGAACACATAACTTTATATATACTGTGAGAAACCGTATTAGGACATGTCAGACGACATTTGTCCTGAGTTAAATAATCCAATAACTCGTTATCTTGTATATTAGCATATGGAAAAGAACCTAGAGTTCCAATTTCCCAGAGTACAACGCCAAATGACCATACATCACTTTTAGAAGAAAAAGTATGATCACATATAGATTCTGGTGACATCCAACGTATTGGGAGTTGACGAATTTTGCCAGCCATATTATTTATTACGTATATTCCATTTCGTGACAAACCAAAATCAGAAATCTAAATCCATAATAAATCTGTATATACTATTTTTTTTTAAATAATTATTATACAAATGTCTATACTACCTTTAGTGTTAGATCTGAAGTAAGGAGGATATTTCTTGCTGCCAAATCTCTATGTACAATTCCTTTCGCTTCTAAATATTTCATTCCTTTTGCAATATCAAGCGCAAAGTTTATAAATTGTTGATTTTCAATTATATCATACAAATTTTCATTATCATTTTTGTTTCTTTCAATAATATTCGCATATTTAGATACAGCCTTTTCCAAACTATACAAAAGTATATCATCTGATTTAATATTTCTTCTGTAATGTAGATATGCAAGCAAATCTCCACCTTCCATATATTCTAAAAGTATGCATATAGGATTATTAGGTAAAGTACAGCAACCTATAAAGCTCACTAAATGTGTATGAGAACCAGCTGCCTTCATTATTTTAATTTCTTCCAGTAATTGATGTCTGGCTTCAAGTTCGTTGCATGCATCAGTACATTGTGACACTTTAACAGCTATTAATGTGTTCTTATTGTTGTTTAAGCTACCTAGATATACTTTACCAAATTGTCCTTTTCCTAATTCGTATATAAAATTTATATTTTTGTACGGTACTTCAAATTCATCTTTCTGAGCTTTGTAACGTGTTTCCTACAAGAAGATTCGTAAATGCTAAACTTTTAACTTTATTTTTAATTTTTTTTACCTCAGATTTTTGTTCGTTGTATACATCGTTATTACGTCTCTGAAAAACTAGATCTGGCCATTGAGCCAGCTTACAAGCAGAAGGATCAGATACTGTTGGTCTCCTATCGTTAAAAATAAAATGTTTACTATAATACATATGCAATAATTACTATGCACATACATAAATAGTAAAAAATAGTTTAGTAAACTTTTTACCGTTTGAAAGGAAATACAAGCTGATACTCATTTTTATTATATATTGATTTAATGCTAATAAAGCCTAGTATAACACAAATGACAATACCAGCAAGTAATAGCCACTGTAACATTATAAGTGCAATTATATTGTATTGTAATTATTTATATGAAGTTTATATTAGACATATATATATATATATATATATATATATTTTAAT